ATAGATTCTGTCCTGGAGCTTCCAGAAGAAACTTCAGCCTAACTGATTTTTTATCCTAACAAGATTCAGACTGGACTTCTGACCCCTGGAACTCTAGAGAACAAATCTGCTGTTTTGAGTTACTATACTTGTAAGATCTGTCAAGACGATAGGAAAACTTCAGTTTTTAGAGAGTGTCTTATAGAAAGCCATGGGGAGAGACAGGAAATGATATCAAAGACGGAGCAGAATCACCTTGTTGAGGAATTCCCTCAGCAGAATGTTAAGGAAAGAAGCAGCCTCTTCTTTCCCTCTTTAGGGTGGCAGGGATGAGAGTATTGAATGTTCTGTAGGATATTTTCAGTAATAACATAACGCCTAGTCTGAGAGCTAGGCTTATGCTTTAACCCCCTTTTTGGTTATAGAAATTATTGTTTGGAGCTGGGGGCAGTAGTGTGTGTCCACTTGAGCCCAGGAGTCATTGAGGCTGAGGCAGGAGGATCACTGCATGGGCACCATAGGGGAAACTAGCTAGGGGGAGTAGATTGGCATTAATGAGCTTGTTGGCAGCAAAGTGAGCACAGAACCATTTTTTTTTATTTGACAGCATACTGCTGGTGTTAAGGGTTTGGATTGTGGGAAGAGTCCTGCTGAAGACACCCACGTATTCCACACTGGCTGCACGGCAGGACTTTTTGGGGTAGTCAGACACCAGGCTGTCTTGGTGGTGGTCCCAGGCCCCTGACTTGTTCAACTCCAAGTGGGTGGATTGTTCTTTATTTCTTTCCCAGTGCTGTTGTGGGAAATTACCACAAACAAGACTAAACAACAGAAATCGATTCTCTTACTGTTTTGGAGACCTAAAGTGTAAAATCAGGGTATCAGCAGCAGCCTTGGGGAGAATCCGTCTGTGCCCCTTCAGTCTTTGGTGGCAGTTGAAGCTTTTTGGATTGTGGCCCCATCACTGTCTGCCTTATTTCATTATATTTTACTTTGTGTGTTTGTGTTTTACATGACTTCCTTTGTGTATGTATCTCTCTAGTTTCCTTCTGTCCTCCTCCTATAAAGATGCTCATGGTGACTTTTATCGTTCCTCCAATACGCAGGATGAACTCTTTAAGATACTTGCTTTGCCGGAGTAGTATTCATTCTTTGCAGTCGAAGGCGATAGTCACAGTGGGGTTATTTGCTCAGTTCGTTCTCCCTACTCCTTTATTGTTTCTTTTCAGTCTTTGGCTAGTCCCCCACTATTGTCCTATCCTCCGACCTACTTTGAAAAACATTTTCTGATGAAGCAATTGTTTGTTTCATTATAATGTTTCATTTCCTGCTCTACTGACTTCTAAAGCAAAGGTCAGTGAACTCCATCCCATAGCCAAATCCATTGCACTGCCTGTTTCTGTATAGCAAGATAGATAGGAAGGGTTTTTGTTTTGTTTTGTTTTGTTTTTAAATGGTTAAAAAATTCAAAAGAACAATAATATTTTGTGATGCATGAAAATTACATGAATTTAAATTGTAGTGTTTAAAAATAAGGTGTTACTGGAGAACAACCCTGATCCTTGTGTACAGTGTCAAGGCTCACGTGATTTGGAAAGGAAGAGAGTAAATATCTGATCCTTTAAGAGAGTGCTTGCTCACTTCTGTTCTAATAGGGATTTCTTATCTCTGACTTTGGCACATAATCAATGCCAACCATATGTAGATAAATAGCTTTAAATATTTAAGAATATTTAACTTTTAATATTCTTAATACAGTATTTAACAACCTTAAAAAAACCTTGTTAATGTAATAAGGATTTGGTATGATTCCCCAAAGGATTTTCTAAAACTGTATGACAGAGGGAGAATTTTTGGTGCCAGATTACTCATGCTTCTAATCTTTGTTTCTATGAGTCAAAGAATGAAGTATAGTCTTGCCTGTGAATTGAACTGAATTAATAAGAACACATCACATCCGGTAAAGAAAATATGGTATATGCATTGTCTTAGTTCCTTTACTTGTTGCTGAGACAAAATACCCAACAGCCAAAGTTAAAGGAGGAAAGGTTTTTTTAGCTCACAGTTTATAGAGGTTTCAGTTCATAGTTGGCAGAGTGGCTTGGCAGAGGTGCATGGCAGAGGAGAAACAGTTCATGGCAAAGCAGGGCAGGCAGAAGGCAGCAAGCAGCAAGTGATAACAGCAGGCAGCAACAACAGTAGTCTTCTTTCCATCTCCTGTGTTTTACCCAGGCTACCCAGTGGGTACCACACACACTGTTTATCCTAGGACTGTACCATGAATCGGTCCTGGCATTACATCCTTGACCTCAGCATCATAGACTCTAGATCCAGCCACCTCCTCATGACTGCATAAGGCTATGGAGGGACAGCTGCATACAAGCCAAGCCATGACGGGCATAACGGAGGATTATTCAGCCATAAAGAAGGAAATCTTGTCAAGAAGGAACATGGATGGAAGTAGAGATCATCATGTTAAGGGAAATAAGCCAAACACAGATAATATTGCATGTTTTCTGTCATATGTAGAATCTAGAGGGGAAAAAGACATGAAAGTAGAATTGAAGGAGAGGAAGAATTAGAGGAGAGGGGAGGGAGAGTAATGTGGGAAGGATCACGGGATGTTACATCATGTGTAAAAATGTCATAATGAAACTTATTATCATAATTAATGTGCATTAGTAAAATCAAAGAAAAGCATCCCATTCAGGACTTAATGTTGACAAGTGGGATGGTTAATTTGCTGTCAACTTCGGGATAGGCTATGGTGTGTGCGCATTTGGTCAAACACTGATCTAGGTATGACTCAGGGTGTGCTCTAGACCACGACGGATGTGTGCAGCCAGTCAGCTGTAAGTAAACCAGATTAACTTGGCATGTGGACGGGCATCACCAACCCGAAACTTAAGACCTTGTCTTGGGAAAAAAAAAAAAAAAAGCTGGGGATGGAGCTCACAGTGGTTAATCCCCAGGGCTGGGGAGAAAGAAAAAAAAAACAAAGAAATTCTGCCTGAGTTCTCAGCTTTCTGGTCTGTGCTGCACGTTTCTGCCCTGCCAACTGTGACAATTATGTGAGCCAGTTCTTTAAGATTTGTATAATTTCCTCTTGATCAGTACATACAGTTATAAATGGCAGCTGTTTCCCATCAGTTCCCTGCGCACTGCAGTGAGCCTCTGACTGTGCCCGTGTGGCCTGCAGCACTTGGCCCTTGGGACACAGCAAGGCCTGGGCTGTCCGCCCCTCGGCTGCTGCTTTTCCCAGCTCACACAGGGAATTGAGCGCTGCCTGGACACCACAGTCAGGAATAAGTTCCCTGGTGAAGGGGCAGAGGACTGTCACTGCCGAGTTGTTTAATGTGACAAGACAGAAATGATAAAATGAAGCAGAAGGAAAGGTACCTGTTGATACGGAGCATTTGAGAAAGCGGGAAGACAAATTTCTCTGTGGCAGAACTTGTGAGGACTCCCCTGTCTTCCCTGTGAACGCAGAAGCTCTCTGTGCATGGCCTGCAGTGGAGACCACCCAGTCTATCCTGCTCTGCAGCACTTCTGTCATGCTACAGATGGCTTCTTTTATCCTCAAGTTTTGCCTCTTTGGCAAAAAAAAAGAAAAAAAAATTTAAATCTTGATGGAAGTACAAATAAATGCACAATATTTAGAGTTCACTTGTATCTCTGCATAGGTAGTTTTATATACTAGTAAGTGTAAAATTTGTCTAATAAACTATTTGACTTGTGAAAAATTGCACATTTGAGCAGAAAAGGTAGTAAATATATTTTTTACATGCTAATTCTTCCAAAAGGGGAGTCATACCATCAGATGGCCTCAGGGGACGGCTGACTCCCAGTGTGTCTGGCCTGTTCTGGAACCCTGTCCCCTGCTATCTGTCCGAGCTGCATCTACTGTGGTTAATTACAACCTTTAGCCAGCTTCCATGCAAGTGTTATTTTAAGGAACTAATTGTAACTTGTAGTTTTATGGGTTCTAACCATTAGACAGGCATTCTACTTTTTCATCTGATTATATTGGATAAAATATAAGTAGAGAATGATTGAGCTACTATAAAAAATTTCTTGCGCAGAATGCCATTTCATTTTAAATAACTGAAATATTTTATACTCTTTTATAGAAGTTTTAATGGTCAGAAAGATATGAAATATATATATATGATTATGTATTGTATATAATTTAATATATATGTATAATCTATAATTTATGTGTGGAAAATATAATTTATGTATGAATAAATTTCATATATAGATTAATATATATGAAATTATGATTTCCAGTATGCCAGATAATGAGATCTAAAGCAATTCATTTGAGCAACATCTGTGTGAACAGTGCCTGAGTATTTCCTAAGGTCGGGGCCTGTGATAGCTTTTGGGGATGTGGAGGGGAAGAAACGTTTGTCCTTATTCTCCAGCTGCCCCAGTCTCCTGGAAAGACGATGATGGAAAGAGTGGGAACTGCTTCTAAGAACACAGATTTTCAGAGGGGAGGGATTCATTCAGACATTTGGGCTTTGAAGGAAAAGATAATTTCCATGTAAAGAAATCAGTATGTCGGGCTGAGAGGCATTGGCTTTTAGAAATTATACATATGCTATTCTTAAGTAACATGTATTTAGGTTTAGGAAGAGATGACCACAGATTCAACCCACTGTGGATCAGAACTAGTTGGAAAAAGTTTCATCATTGGACATTTTCTCCTGTGATTCCTTTAATAATACGGTATCAAAACTATTTCCATAGTATTGCCATCATATTAGGTATTAAAAGTAATCTAGAGAGGATTTAAAGTATATAAAAGAAGGTAGAGGTTCTATACAAATACTATACCTTTGTGTATGAGACTGAGCATTCTTGGATTCTTATCTGGGGATGGGGTCCTGTAACCTGTGCCTTGTGGGATGCTGAGGGAGGATTGTACTGACTGTTAGTAATTATTAAATGATATTCAGATCTAAACAACCTAAAAATGTTGATACTATATAAATTGACACCCCACCTCCCTGTTTTTACAGTTGGTTAGTCTGTTGCTAATCGGAATTGCTGCTTGGGGCATCGGTTTTGGGCTGATTTCCAGTCTCCGAGTGGTTGGCGTGGTCATTGCTGTGGGCATCTTCCTGTTCCTGATTGCACTGGTGGGGCTGATCGGAGCTGTAAAGCACCATCAGGTGTTGCTATTTTTTGTATCCTTTCTTAAATACGGGATTTTTACCACACGGGTTGAGTTCATACCTGCTGCTGATTACTGTCTTAATGGCTGCAATGAATTTAATATTATTAGAAAGTTAATTTCCAGAAAGCAACTCCTAGAAAGCCCTAGGGATATTTGTTCAGCCAATATTAGGATCATTTCTGAGCATGAAGTTATTGTAAGTTTACGCATTTCCAATCCTTGTCACGTCATAAAGAATTCTGCGAGCTCAGGGTAGTCCAATTATACATTGCAAAATCAGAGCGCAATTGAATTGATTCAGTGGACACTGGGCCCTTTCCAACATTTTAATATTTGAGAAATAAGTATGTTATACTAAAATTTAATAAATTTATGGTCATTTGTCTATACCTTTTCCTATTTTATGTATGTAAGAATTTTTATTCTAAATTAGATTCTAATACTAGGTCTGTCCATATATTTTTATGAACTTAAAGCCACAGTGTTTTACCAAAGTAATACTTGTGTATCCTTTTTGAAGTTTAAGTGTGATTTGTCCTGTTTTCTCAGTAAATTGCTTCTAGTGCATTTGAGAGTTGGGCCAGTACTTTGGCTTCATGCTATTTTGAGTATTCAGAAATATCCTTAACTGTTGACTTTCAGTATATGATTATCCTCTTACTTGTATTTATCGTTCAGTTTTCTGTGTCTTGTGCTTGTTTAGCTCTGAATCAGGAGCAACAGGTGAGTGGACTTCTTTTTTTTTCCCCTGCTACTTTTATTATTCCACCACTGCATGAGTAGAAGAGGAGAAGAAGTGATTGGAGTATAAGACAGTGCTCTTTCTTGGGAGCAGCTGAACTGATTGTGTTAGCAGGGCTGATGGAGCTGAGAGACCATGAGGTGTTTTTACGTTTCACGTCCTTTAGATAAGGTGTAGGTTTCACTGGGTAAAAAGAACTTCAGCCGAAAGGTGTTTACCCGGTCCGTACCCACCATTTACAGTGAACTGTGCTCTGAGAGGCCTGTCGTTCCATTTTAGAAATTCCTCTTTTCAGGCTTCGGTTTGTAGAGAAATTAGTCCTCCTGTCTTGGGGCAACAGAAACTTTATCTTGATTTGCTCTGAGAATTATATCTTTGAACCAAGTGCTTCTTTTAAATTACATATGAAAATTAAGACTTTTAATCCCTAGGATAGAAACAGTGACTTCATTTTGGTGGCAGATTGAAAGTCTTAATGCTCGTTTGGAGAGAGAGTGTTTGTTTTATATCCGCTGGGTACTAAAAGCTATAGGTCCTAGCCTGTATATTTTATTCAGTATTGACACATTTTAATTTATGTGCTAAATGCATTTCTTAGCGTCAGCTTCTGGAGGTTGGTTGGAACAATACTGCAAGTGCTCGAAATGACATCCAGAGAAATTTAGACTGCTGTGGATTCCGAAGTTTTAGCCCAAATGACACCTGTCTGGCTGTAAGTCAAGTTGAGAGATTTTTTTATTTTAAAGGAATGCATTATGAAAGAAACCGGCGCCTGCCGAAGATCACTCCGCACACGGACAGAGCTCGTATGACTTTATTGTAGAGCCGCCGTGGCTTGGCGGTGGCATGGTGGTGGCCCGCGCTGGAAGGGAACAAAGGAGAGGAGGAGGGAGCTGAGCTGGGGAAGGGGCTTGGTTATACAGTAGGTGACTGGTGCAGGCGGTCAGGGATCGTCCTCAGGAGGCGTCATTGGACATCCATTCCTTGTACGGGCGAGCCTTGTTTGTGCGGCGGTTTTATGACCGGTGACTCTGATGTAGGAAATGGAAACTTTGAGTTGAAGAAGGAAAGTTACTTATCAGAACGGCAGCAGCCATTCCAAGGCACTTATCTTACACATTATATATGGTGCCTAACGACTCAATGGAAGAAAACAATTTTCTGATCTGAATTGTATTTAAAAATTGTTCTGCGTATGCCTGTTATATTTTCAAACACATTATTGTAGCATTTGCTTGTTCTCGTATGCCTGTTATATTTTCAAACACATTATTGTAGCATTTGCTTGTTCTCAGATATCCTCAGAGCATTGAATATTCCAGAGGCCAGTCGGGCTACAGGTTTTGGTTTATTGCCCCTGATTCTTTCCCACTGGACTCTTCTGAGAAAAAGTTGGGAAAGAAAAAGAATAGAGAATAGATCAGTCTTAGCGATTTAGAGGAAGTATATAAATATCTTGGCTTGAAAATGACCTCTACTAAATTGGGTTTCTTAGCTAAATATCTTGAAGGTAGAGAACCCTCTCCCTTTTCTCCATTACAATTCCATACCCTTTGTGTTTGGAGTTGAATTATTGATGGACAGTGTAGAACCAAACTCATGTCTCAAGCCAGAACACTGACTGCTAAGTGTCAACCCTGGTCCTGGGAGACTCAGGGGTTGGCTCAGTTCAGAAGTTTATCTGTGTTTATATTCTGGGGGACTCTTTGAGTCCTAAGATGGATATCCCCCCAGTAAAAGGCTTCAGTTGTGACATTCCTTCTTTGCAGGAATCTATTTTAGTTTCCCATGGCTGTATAATACATTTCACGGCCCAAAATGTGTTGTCTGCCAGTTTTCATGGGTCAGGAGTCTGGATATGATTAGCCATGTTCATGAGGCTGAAATTAGGTGTTGGCGGAGGATGAAACGCATGGGAGGAGGAGGGTCCCCTAGCAGCTCAGTGGTTGTTGGTAGCATTCGGTTCCTTGGAGTTGTAGGATCAATGGCCCTGTTTTCTCGGTGGCAGAACAAGTGTGACAGCATCCAAGTGTGCCCAAGAATCTTCCTTCTGGCGAGATGGAGTCGTCTAGAATACAAGCTAAGTGTGGGCATGACTGTCCTCTCACATCACAGGCCCAGCCACAAAGAGTCAGGCAGCGCTTGGACACCCGAGGCCATCTGAGAAGTTAACATACTGCTAAAAAATGCCCCAGATGGGACGCAGTACCCCTAGACTGTAATTTGGCATCTGTGGCATTTTTTATATTTTCTCTATCATGCACTCTGAAATAACAGGTCTTTCTCTGATTGATACAGAGCTGTGTTAAAGATGGCCATCTCTGCCCACCGTGTGCTCCGATAATAGGAAGATATGCTGGGGAGGTTTTGAGATTTGTTGGCGGCATTGGCCTCTTCTTCAGCTTCACAGAGGTATGTATCAGTGAGTCAGTGTTTTCCCCTTTTGTAAGACATGAGGGCATGACACCTAAGTTGCGGAGGACATGTGGGAATGTTTTCCTTGAGAGCAGGGGGACACGGGAGGTCCCCTAGCTTGGAGTCAGGCCCTCCCAGGGAGCTCGCCTGAACTTTATGGCAGCGGGAGGCGTTTGCTCTGTTTCCTCGGATATAAATTTATTTCTTTTTTACATTTTGACAGTTCTTTTTTAAACTAGTATATATTTGCAATATGTAATAAACATTTGTTTTGGGGAATTGGTGCATGTACATGTCACCTCTCAGATGGTAAAACCTAACGAATACATGAAATGAGGTTAGCCTGGGTTTTCTCTAGTCTTTGGCCTTACATTTATATTTTCCTTTGCACTAAGCTGCATCCCCAGCCTGTTTACCTTTTGTTTTCAGACAAGGTCTTGCTAAGTTGCTCATGCTGGGCCTGAACTTTCTATCCTCCTGCCTCAACCTCCCAGCATGCTGGGATTACAAGCATGTGTCACCACGCCTGAAGGGTCTTCATTTTTTTTTTCTTCTGTCAGTGTCCTTCTTAATCTCTCAATATCTGTGGATGATTTTTCATTCTTCTGAGTTCACAATATGCATCAGGATTAAAATTTTCGGTCTTTGACTCATAAATTCCAGTTCTAGTTTTTATTTCACAGAGATAATTGTGTAATTATGGAAAATGAATACATAAGGATGCATATCATTTATAACAAGAATCCTTCAGGCCAGCCTTTGTTCCTCAAAAATGAGCTGGTTAACTTAGGGTGTGGCACACAGGAGCAAATGGCTAAGGTGATCTGGTTGGAAACCCAGCCTTGATGCTTTATTAGTTCTGAGACCTCAGGCAAGTTACTTACCCATTGGCATGTTCCTGTCCCCTCATCTTTAAAGATGAGTATAGTGTAATAATAGCCCCTGTTTCCTAGGGTTGTTGTCATGATTAAAGGAGTTGATAGATGTAAACCTTGTAATATGTAGAATACTACGTGGTACGTGGCAGGTGTTTTGTGTTAGCTGTCATTTTGTAGCCGTTAATTAATTAATGATATATAAGACCCTATATTATACACCATTTAAAAGCTGGGGAGACACCTGTTACTGTCATCGTGTAATGACCACATCACAGGTCCTGTTCTCAACAGATGACAGAATAACATATATCAAATAGTTCTTTTAATTAACTTTGTAAAGAATAAACACGTGTCTTTAAAAGAACATCAGAAGAATCCTAAGAGATTTTGTGTGCTTGTAATTCTATGTGTTCATTTAACCTGACACCATTTCATTTTCCCTTTGATATTCCACGTGATAAATAATTCCAGTGTCACTGCTGTGTGTGGACTGTTTCGTCTGTATCCCCTAGCCTCTTACAATGCATTTTAAAATGTAAAGCTGACGCAGTATGGGAACATTAGAAAAAACTCTGATAAAGACTGAATTGTTGGGTTGCCTTCTGGGAGAATTCTACCAGCTTTTGACTCCCGCACCAGGTCTAGATATCTTTATCATAAAAACTTGACAATTTGATAGTTCAAAAATTTTCAGTTCTCGTTTGCTGTTTTGGAAAAGTGGGTAGTGAATTTGACCATATTGACCATGTTTTATGGTTTTTGACGCTTACGTTTCTTCTTTTATGAATTGCCCATTTACTTTTGACTTACTTGAAGCACTTCAAGTTACACATACAAATGTGAAATAGCACCACATGCAAGACCGAGGAAGGTCTCAGAATACCAGGTCCCTCCCAGGGTCGGGTACAGGGGAGGCATAGTGCTCTGCCAGTGTTTGCTCTTCCCTGCTACTTCCTACTTCCTGTTTTTTAACCGTTCCCCTTCTCTTCTAATTCATCACAAACCTTTACGTTTTCCCCATACACTTTACTTTGCTCTCCTTTCACCTTCTTTGATATTTAACTATTCACTTTATGACTTGGTTTTTTAAATTTGGAGAAGATTTTACTTTCACTGTAGTCAAATGTATTTTTTTTCCCCATGTGGTTTATGCTTAGAAAGCCCTTTCTCATTTTGATGCTTCATGTTTGTGTGTGTGTGTAAAATATACAAATAATATATGAATTGCATTTGTGTATATAGTGTATACATTTTGTGTGCATCTATGATTAATGTGTAGTGTACATGTATGTGTACATTTCATAAATGTTATTTTGTGGGGGGTACCGGGGATCGAATTCAGGTCCTTGCGCTTGCAAGGCAGGCAGCAGAACTGCTGAGCTAAATCCCCAGCCCTCATAAGTGTTATTTTTAGTTTGTTTTTTACCCCCTCTCAAGAATGAAAAAAAATTTTGAGGGGGTGGGTACTGGGGATCAAACTCAGGTCCTTGTGCTTGCGAGGCAGGCAGCGGAACCACTGAGCTAAACCACCGGCCCAAGAATGAAAAATTTTTATTTGGCTATTACTAATGAATTGGGAAAAGAAAACATCAAGCTTCGCCTTTCTTCTCTGACCCCACTCCGTCCTTGTTTGTCACCATTTTGCCTTCTGTCTGTGCGTCTGACTCAGGCCCCTGTGGTCACATCATCAGCCTAACCAGACATTCCCCTCGAACTCAGTCATGCCTGCAGGCTCCCTCTGCCCTGGAACACACCATCTTCCCAGGTTCTGGGGAGCAATTTTATAGCCTGCCACACTGTTCATATTTTAATTTTTCTAGGGTCTCTCATTTGATTTGTTTAATTCATTTGAAAGGGAAAAAATCCTCTCCCCTTTGCGTGGGGGGAAAGCAAAGTGATTTAGAAAATCCAGAGTTTTTATTTTGTTTGTTTGTTTGTTTTTTGAAACAGGGCCTCACTATATAGTTGAGACTGACCTGGAACTCACTATGTAGTCCAGGCTGGTCTCGAACTCACAGCGATCCTCCTGCCTCAGCCTCCCGAGTGCCGGGATTACAGGCGTGCGCTACCACACCGGGCTGATCCAGAATTATTGTAATTGATAATTGAAATATACACAGACTTTACCTTCTTGTTCTTCTTTTAATCCAGATCCTGGGTGTTTGGCTGACCTACAGGTACAGGAACCAGAAAGATCCTCGTGCTAACCCTAGTGCATTCCTTTGATGAAGAAACCAAGAAAATCTTTCATATTCTGATTTTTGTCCATTTTATCTTATTTTAAGTTAGGCTAATTTGCCCATTTAACCAAGGAGAGAATATCTGAAAAATTACATTATCGACAGTGGAATTATATATTTTTACTCTCTAAATGTTTTTCTTTTTTTAATTGTTGAACAAAATAATGGAAACTCATGGTCTTTTGATCCTCAGTGGCACCTGTAACCTACTGTATTCACAGTGTTCAGCACTGTCCACTGTGGCCTTCATTAGTGTTTTTTTTGTTTGTTTGTTTTCCTGCAGAAGTCCTTTGTATGGCACTACTGTGTTGCTCATATTGTGAAAGTAAATATGCATTTCACTGGAATCATTGTATGTACTGTGTAGATAGCTCCCACTGGAAAGAGTTGATGTTACTAAGGCCAGAAAGTAAGAGAGTCTGTAATGTGTTAAGTTCAGTAAGGGAAATCCAAATTCCCAGTATTCTTCGTCTTTTAGGAAAGATATGTTGTAGTGAAAAGTGTTAATATAAAAGTGACAATTTAGTTCAAGTAGCCTTTCATGATTACACCAGTGTATTGTAGAGATAGCTATGTCTTTAGGAGGTTGTGGTTTTGCTTTTGACTCCCACAGGTATGTGCAAAGGAGAAGCAGTCTCATGAGAAGTTCTGATGTATAACATTCACCTTCCGTTTTCAAAATGCAGTGACTATTTCAGAAACTATATCTATATAATCTTGATACTCTTTTTTAATGATTTGAATTCCAAAACACTGCATTTTAAAACAATTTACTATTAATGCGCTGGCCCACATAGCAAAAAGGTATTTGATTATCTTAAAAATTGTGAAGTAACTTTTCATGAAATTTCTCAGTGTTGTAACAACTTGTCAAATTCAAGCATATTTGAATGTGATATCGCCCATAATTTGAAATTGAAATAGTATTGTGGTTCTGTATATTGAGTTAAAAATTAAAAGATGGAAACCTTTCTTTGTGTATCCATGTTTGAATTAAAAGAAGATAATGGAAGAGTTGATAAATTAAGTGGAATTCCTTTTTTCTGCTTTAGTTTCTTCTTCATTGACTTGTTGGGAGTTGCTATTTTAGTGTAATGAAGCTGTGAAAATTAAAATTTCTGCACCAGTATATGTTAGTAACTGTCCCCAAATCATTTATTGAAATATTTCAGTGGTTAATCTTGTCTACATGGTGAGAAAGTTCTTTCTTTTCTCTTCTTTTTTTTAAAGGGAAGTAATTCATATTTCTTTGGGAAAAGTTCATAGGTTCTTTCCAACTGCCATATATCACTGATTTCTTATCTTGCATTCTAGGTTTCACGTGAAACTTCCTGGCAGTTAGATTTTAGGTCGAGAAAGATGGCAGATGGTTGATCTGCAGAGTTTAGAGAGTTTTGTAGGTATGTCAGCTCTGTGACTCTATAGTAGTCGCTGACATTCTAAGAACACCAAACAGTGCTGTTTCCAGAATATCTTAGCTCTGGAGTAATTCTAACAGTGTTCCTTCCAACTTACATCAGAGCTAAGATCTTCAGAGACACACAAAGGGAAAAGTTTGAGTTCTGTCTTCCTTTAAGGCACTCTGTATTTTTCCTGTTTGTCTTTTACATTTCAAAATTTTGTAAGGGTCTAGAATCTCCTAACATAGTACTTTTCCTGGTGCAGGAGGTCATGTGTGGAAAGGCCTGTTCTAGAGAGAACCAGCTCATATCCTTGGTTTGTGTTCTAATCACAGTGGCTTTATTTGGGTCCACCCAGTTTAAAATCAGACCTGGTAGGATGAATTTGAGGGCTGTTAAACCATGTGATTATACAGATGGGTAATTAAATAACTGATGATTAGCTGCTCAGGAAATACGAGTACGTTTTCAAGCACCAGCATCATGGCCAGCCCTGACAAAGGAATCTGGGCTTTCTCCTGGCAGATCTGAAGGGACTGGATTGCCCAGCACTTCTCTGACATCTCTTGTGTCTGGATGCAGACCCTGCTCCCCCTCCACAGTGTATTACGGTGCCCCTGGGAAGGCCCCTGAACACGTTCCTCCTGAATCTTGAATGGCCCTGTTGTGAGCTTTCAGACCAGCGGATCCCTGCCTGTGGGAACAAGAACACAGCTGCAGTTTCTACTCAAGGCCTGGAATTTCAACAAATGGCTATAAGGCAAATCACTGATAACTTTGAGTGTTGTCTCATCCATATCCCATGTATTTAGACAGGAACTTCAAAAAAAATTCTGATTTCCTGTTTACATACTTAGAGGAATGTTCCTTAGAATATTTCTTCAGTCAGCCTTGATGCTGAAGGTGAAATTTTAGCTGAGAAGATCATGCTAATAGAAAGGGAAAAAGGGTTTGACCATAATTTCTAAAATTGGAGCTCATTGTGGCTTTAATGTATTTTATATCCGTTATCTGAGCAACAGTGTGTTTGGTGTAAAAACCAGTTGTGCACGTTTGACCTTAATAATGTGCTCCTGAATGGAACGTTTCAGGGGACCGGAATCCAGAAGTGTAGCATGCGGCTCTCAGCTTCTGGAGTCCGATCTGTGTGCTACAGTTTTTCTAAATATTTGCTTAATCCTGTTTGTTTGTTCATTCTTCTGAAAATACATTAAATGCATGAGAACAGTTTTACTCTTTTTTTTTTTTTTAATTTCCAAAGGTAGGGAAAAAGCCCCATTTTTCCGTGGTGTTCATATGAGAAAAGCATTCCTTGTGAGAGTGTGTGCATGGTCATTCAAAGAATGGCTTTGTTTTATTAGAGATGGCAGCAAAGTGACAGACCCAACTTTTCTCGCTTTCTGGACGGGGAGGGGGTTTATATGAAGTTGTGTTTGAGAGTAGCTGATGGTTTTGTACCAAGCTTCCTGTGCTCATTGAGACTACACTATGTGTGGCTGAGAGCCTGTGCTTTACCCGATGAGAGGAAAGGGGCAGCGACACAGGGCTGTACAGTGTTTCTTTCTTTTTAAACTTTATTTTATGAAAAAATAAAATTTCATAAAAAATAATAAGAGAATAACAGTTAATACGTCGTATCCTTATGCTTTCCAAGTAGTTACTCAGAATACAAAACATCGACCAAAAAGAGTCTTAACCAAAAGAAGCAGATGTCGTCTCACAGCTGAGCAGTTGTTCCTGTCCTACATCAACTACAGTGGGAAAAGGGGCCAATCAGGCCTCCCAGCCAGATGCCAGGACACTTCGTATTCGTGTCCTTGGGGAAACCAGCTTCTGGAACTTCTTTTCAGATGAGAGCTTGAGAGAGTTACCCATGAGTGAGTTAAAATATATGGGGAAGAGTGGACTTTGGCAAGTGTTGAAGGGTGGAGCCACATTTGCTTACTTTGGTGTCTTGCCTCTGTAAGTAGGTGAGGCCCCAGCGTGGCAGGTGGCCTTTCTGCACATCAGGCTGGCTCGAAAGTCGTCTCCTTGTCCCGAAGAGAGCTCTGTTCTTAGAGCTTTTCCTGTCCGTCTCCCATTTTCACCAGTGGTCCCTAGTAGGAGGATCTTAGGAGTGTCGTAGGATTACTGAATTCAAGTAGAGCCCAGACAACACAGGCAGAGACAGAGGTGATCATTTGAAGAAAACCTTTGTTCTCAAACAAATGAAAATGGCTTCACCAGGCCCGCTGACTGACTGTGTAAGTGACTTTATGGATGATTTGTGTTACCAAAATTTTTTTTAAAAAGTTAATTCCTCTTTTTTTTTTCTTCATAATGTATGGGGGGGCTCAGATAAAACTGAAAAATATTTATTGTGACAAAGCTATATAGCTCAACAGTCTTTTAAATGTACAGTTCATGACATTTATATTATGCAGCTATTACCACCATTTATTTACAGAACAGTTGAGCTTCTCAGACCAAAGCTCCACACCCATTAAATAATTAAAGTCCTCTTCTGCCTTCCCTCAGCCCTGATGACTATGTTCCCCTTTCATATCTCCCTCTTGCCCTGCCTCCCTCTCTGTAAACAAGTTACCTCAGATAAGTAGAGTTTGACAGTATTTGTCCCTTAGTGATCTGCTTATTTCACGTAGCCCACTTAGTGCCGCCCAGGTTCGTCCATACCCTAACACACGCCAGGATTTCCTCCTTTTAAAGATTGAATAATATTCCATAGTATGTTTCTGTGTGCCCCACTGTGTACCCATTCCTCCACTGACAGACACGTGGGTTATATGGGGGTTATGTCCGGCTTTTGGCCATGGTAAGTAATGCCAGGAGCATAGCTCTGTAAATATTTATTCCCTGCTTTCTGGTCACTGAGTGCATTTTTAAGGACCTAACAATATTATTTCACAGCAGCCCAAAGGAAGAATAAACAGTTTGCTGTACTATAAAAGAAACTTGATTCACCTCTGAGTTGTCACTCAAATTATTTATTTTTGAAGCGAAGCCCCTTTTTTCCCCATTTGGCTTCAGTGAGCTTTCTAAGTGGGATGCTTTGCTTTAGTCAGTGCACGTGGGTTACCTGCTTATTCGAATGGAACTGATGTCCCGGTGATATTTGAGTGTAGGATTTGTATGCTGTGAAGTCAACAATGAATGCTCAGAAACCCACTGGTGATAGTGGCCAATGTGAGAGAGAAAAGCATTGAAAACATATTATGTAGCCTGAGAAAATTAATGTCGAAAAATTCTATTCAGAAAAGGATCTGTCTAGGAAAGTTAACCAAGATGAGCAATAGACGTCCATGTGCAGTGCAGTATGCAGACCACAGCCCAGGGTCCAAAGAAGTCAGTGGTTGGTGATAGAGGACTTTCATATAATAATGAATGTGGGATTAAATATGTGGTGAAGAAGCTCATACACAGCTGTGATTTTTGCCAGGCAGAGAGTATTTACAGAGTTTAAAGCAAAAGCTGCTTCCTTCCCACGTGCAGCCACACTCTCAACTTTCCCCAACTTCAGTGACCGCTGCCCTGTGCCCTTTGTTCTTCCCCGAAGTCTGCCCCTTGGAAGTGAAGCAGTTCAGACAGTTTATTCTAACGCAGTACTCGAGAGTCCCCGAGAGATCAAATTTGCTACAAGGCCAGGTGTCAGGAGGACAGATGTTCCTTGAACGATCTTCACCCTAGATTCGTCTTTGGAAGGACAAAGCTGGCTGCCAGGGTTTCCCGGGAACCATTAAGTGGAACAAAATGTGACAGAAATAGGATTTCTGAATTAAAAGGTGTGTGTAGGTGCATCTGGATGGGGTGAGGAGGGCTGCCTAGGTAGGAAGCTGCGTTCCCTGGGATGCTTTCTGCACAGCCTCCCACACTAATTGTGTACTCTTTGATGCTTCTGTTGATTAATTTCAGTTCTACTCTTGGTCTGCAAGAATCTGTAACATGGTGGGATGAAAACTTGGTTCTTTTTCATTGGGACCGGTTTTGTCCTGTGCCTTCCCTGAGCATTTTGTGTATATCCAGTGGTCCTATTTGGTGAATGAGCCAAATAGCTGCTCTATGAAAGACCAAGTTGGGGGAAAAAAATAAAAGCAAAAACCTTCAGTTTACGTACCTCCAAAAGGATTTATTTTTTAGAAAATCATGGCTTACTACAGTAGTGTACAATATTGTTTTTACACACAGATACCTGAAACCAATTTTAAAAATAAAAAGTGGTTGTAACATTAAACCATAATCTAATGAGCATGTTGGCCAGTGCTTTGCTTCAGTCTTCTAATGTCACTGGTTCCGAGTCTCAAGGCCTGGCATGTGGGGAAAAGCTTGCACGTTTTGTTTTTTCCTCTACAACTCAGTCTTCAGCAGCTTGAGGGCTTTCCTCATGTTGTCAAGCACTGAAAGGGGGAAAAAGCAAGATGCCCTTATGAATTTCATGGATAGATAATAAACTCTCAAACCTGGGTACTCTTCATTCAGTGGGTTATGTATTTAATGCTGGGAATAAAACTCAGGACCTTGCTCTTGCCTGGCGGGTGCAGCACCACTGAGCTAAATCCCCTGCCCAGGTTGTTTTTAATTATAGGGTGAGTAGTTGGTAACCTTGTAATTTTTTCTAAAATTATATGACATACAATTGTAGCAATCCTATTCTCCTGTGTATTTTATTCCTTCTCAGATCTGCCTTCTCCCAACTCCCTCTTCCAAACAAAACAAAGCAAAACAAACAAAAACTTTATAAGCTCTCAGGAACAAATAATTTTGGTTAATTTTAAGTGAATTTTAAATCATGTTCATTATATGTACTTGCTAGGTGTATGCAGCTACTGTAAATTATTTTAGAAGCAGTTGGGATTTAACTTATAAAAATAGCACACCAAGTGCCTTACATAGATAAATTCCTTTAGTCCTCACAAATACTCTCTTAGTACTTCACTTTTAGATGATGAAATAGGCCCAGAGAGGTTGATTCATTTGCTCAAGGTCACACAGCTAAGCAGTAGAGGAACTATTGCTTCAGTGCCCAGACTTCTAGATCACTAGAAGCAATTTGTGAAAATAAGTATGTGATCTAGTGAAATAAGATGCCCATATGATAGGCACAGCATAGCTGTTCACTCAAGAATTCTACCTGCTAAGGCGATGCTGTGGCATTCCGGGTGTAGACGCCGCCTTTAAAGAGTTCAGTTTTACTAAGAAACACAGGCAGCACCTGGATGGCTCCCCCTTGGCCCCACCTCTGCTCCCCAGCAGTGTCCTACGTCACTGATGTCCAGGAGAAAATGACAGTGTCCAGTATCTGTGGCCTGAACCCCGGGGAAGTCGTTAGTCAGCTGAGAGCCTGAGATTTTAATTTCAGTTTAAAAGTCAGTAGCAAATGCGGCTACTGGCTAAGATATCGGACAGCGAGGTTTGAGGCAGCCACTACAGCTGATCACAACTGGTTTCTAGAAATAAAATCCAGTTTCCAGAAAGACTAAGCATGAAGCATGGATAGTACGGGGGGGTTGGGGGAAGGATCTTTTGCAAGTGAGGAGGGGACCAAGACATGGAGCAACATGGTGGGGCGATACGAAGAAAGGTTTGAGATGTTAAGAGCATGCACCAGGTCTCCACCATTAATGGAATAATCATGTATTGCAAACGTGTGCTAATAGAAATTAACATTTTAAAAAAGAACTAACAGGTGTCACAGCCAAATGCATCCCCCACCCCGACCTCCCGTCTCTTCTATTTACAGCATCTTTTTGGGTCCTCTTGCCTATCCATCTTTAAATCGAACCCGAATGCAACAACAGGCCGGGCCGAATCATTTCACTCCTATTACTTGGGGCGGGATGGGGCAAGGATCAGATTATTCCACCTCCTGCATTCAGTTCTGGGGCAGGGGTTGTGTTTGTATGCCTGAGAGGAAGCCGGAAATACAGGTAATGTGGTCACGGAATCCTCCTACAGGAAAAGATCTAAATGATTCGTCCTCAGCTGAGATTAAAAAGAGCAAAACCGGGAGGGAGTGTGATTTGCCTGGGGACCCCTCCCAGCGGCGTCACGCTGGCTCTCTGGCGTCCCCAGGTGGTGCACTGTCCCCTGACCGCGCCGACCTCACCGGGTTGGAGGCCACTTACGCAGAGCCGTGTCTGAAGGTTCGTAGGCGTAGAGACGGTTTGAGTACCTGCTGGTGATGTCCGCTCTCACCGTCAGGGACGGGTCTGCAGAGAGAAGGGGGATGGATGTTGTTTATGAGTAACCTCTGCTCCGGCAGAAGCCTGTGTACTGCGTTGTCCCGTGCAGGAAGCACGGTGTGCATCTGCGCCCACCACCGCAGTGCCCAACTCTACAGAGCAGATGGCGCTGTGCTCTTCGCGGAAAAGGTGCCAGGCCCCGCCATCCTGCTGTCCGGTGACCCCATAATAGGAGGATGTGTGCTGGGAGAGGAGGGTTCCTTCGTTTTGACCAAAACATCATTCTCTATTATGCAATTATTGCAAATGTTTGAAATGATTATATTTTACAAAGAGCAATTTAGAGAATCAGAAACATCTCCAAGGCTGGTTTTTTCTCTCTCTCTCTCTCTTCCTTCCTTCTTTCTTTCTCTTTCTTTTTCTTTCCTTCCCCCCCTCCCCCTCTCTCCCTCCCTCTCTGTTTCTTTCCTTCCAGTACTGGGGATGAACTCAGGACCTTGTGCTTTCAAGGCAGGTGTGCGCTGCTTAGCTAAATCCCCAGCCCAGGTTTTTTTCTTTTAGTTTTTTGGTTTTGCTTTTGAGACAGGGCCTTGAACTCATAGGGGTCGTCCTGCTTTTCAGTGCTGGGATTATAGGCACGTGCCGCCATGCTGGGCCTTTCTTTTTAAATAATGAATGAAAGAATGCAAGCTGTTAAGAAAAGCAAAATCAGATGAGCAGGTTATGGTTATTAATTTTGGGTGCAGGTGTGGTACTGGGGATCGAACCCAGGGCTTTCACACTCAGTTACATCCATCCCTAGCCTTTTAAAATTTTTAAAATTTTGAGACCAGGTCTTGCTCCGTTGCCTGGGCTGGGCTTGATTTTGTGATCCACCTGGCTCATCCTCCCAGGTGCTAGGATGATGCTTAATCTTAACAATCTGATTGGCTGGGGAGCAGCCCAGGGGATTGCTGGAGCGCACTTCTGAGTGAGTCTGGGTGGGCCAAGGAGGTGTGGCCTTGGGGTCTATAACTCCCCCCTTCTCCGCTGGCGTTACTCCCCTGCCTGCTTCCTGCTACTGTGGGCTAAGCAGCTTTGGTCTGCTACACCCTTCCACCATGAAGTTCCTGCCTGGGAGCCGCTGTCCATGCACTGAATCCCCTGAAACCGTGAGCCAAATTAAACTTCTTTACATTGTGGGCTTTGGGTGTCCCATTCACGGGAGAGCTGATGAATGAAAACACTGCTCCTCACTACTTTTTAATTTGTTTTTAAAATACAAACTTTCACAATAGAGTTTTAAAAGACTTCTGTTGTGTGTATGTATTCCATTTGAGGTATTTTATATGTAACAAAGTTATATATTAAGTGCACCTAGAGAGAAATAGGAAGATAGGTCTAGAAACTTTCCTTGCCTTCAGAGGGTGATTAAAGGAGCCTGAAAAGAAGCCAAGGATATGTGAGAACAATCTGCTTAGGTTGGCTTGCCAGCACATTCCTGTAGTCCTGGCTCTCTGGGAGGCTGAGGCAGGAGGATCACAGTTTGAGCCCAACTTGGGCAACACACAGTGACTTAGTGAGACCTTGTCTCAAAAAAAATAAAAAATGCTGGGGATATAGCCCAGTATAAAGGCCCTAGCTTCAGTCTCTAGTACAGAAAAAACAAAAACGATAGGATTTTTGCAGAATCACTGGTACAGGAGTGGACTGTCTGTGCTTTTGGAATGTTAGGCTAAGATCAAAGGACATAAGTTGCCAGAAGCAGAATTTCATGTGTTCAATGTGATTGTTTTGCTTTGTTTGAGACAGGGTTTCACTATGTAGTATAGTTTGGCCTCTAACCCAGAGTGATCCTCCTGCTTCAACCTCCCGAGGGCTGGGATTACAGTCTAGGCCCGGCTGTTTTTCAGGGCAGCTTTAAAGACTAGACGTCTGTTGGGGTGGAAGATACGTAGTAATTTAACGTGATGGCATTTTAAACACTTGCCTGCGGCTCACAGCCCCAGCTGCATTGGAATCTCCTGGAGAGCTTTAAACACCACGGCTGCCTGCATCCCATCTCCCAGGCTCTGATTTACTGGGTTTCAGGTGTGGTTCGGGATGCATGGGGTTTAAAATCCTCCAGGTGATTCTAACCCACTGCCTGAACGGAGAAGCCTTGCAAGGATGGGCTGAAGAGGAGCTGTGCTCAGGACCGGAAGATGAAGATGCTCCTGGAAGGAGAAATCCTGCAGGACCAAGAGCAGCCTGCAAGATTCTCTTTCAGTTAAGGCCAGAATGGGTCCCTGGGGCCTGGGGCTGCTGGAGCACTTGCCTAGCGCAAGTGAGGCCCTGGATTTGGATTTGGTCCACAGTACTAAAAACGAAAATATCTAAACCTGACAAAGCCTTCCTACACCCCAATACAGTGGACCCTCAGGTTACGACATATGAACGACTTGGGTTAATTAGGTTGATGGAAGGTTCACCTGCCTCTTGTTCTCTATAAACACCCAGATCTCAGCTGTATTGACTAACAACCAAACGAGTTACAACCAGCCCTAGGGAACCAATTGAGTTTGTAAGTCTTGAGTCTACTGCACTTGTTTTTCTCTTCCCCATTTTAAACATTTAAGGTAAACTTTGATGAACTACCTGGCAAACCACTTGGTTAGACAGCTCTGTTATCTGATGAGTTTAATTGTAGATTTTTTTCCTAATATGACTTTGGTCAAAGCCAAAATCAGTACACTTACTGAGTCATCCAGCAAATACGTGCTGAAAGCCTACCGAAGGGTCATTCTGGGGTCAGAAAGAGGAGCAGACAGGGATGGTCTCTGCTGTATTTATAAGATCATTTACCTAAGGAATGCTGAATATTAACCGAGGCACATTTTACCCATGAGAGAAACAGGGTGCTTCCTCCTCAGATGTAGCAGAAGGTGAAAAGTGAACATTAGCAAATCATGTGTGGACATAAAGTGCCTACTTTCCTAGTGAGTCTGCATTGCAAACTTGAAGGGTGTCTCGCGCCCTGGCTGGACCTTAGTCCTGACCTTGACTGCCAAAGTGGCCGGCGACCCTGGGGAGGAGGAGGGCGGTGGCTGCATTTGCAGCACCGGCAGAGCGTGGCCTATCTTATAGTCACCTTCACTTACCCACAAACAGAATCCTCGGGACATACTGGCCGTCCGGAGAAAGGTGTTTGTCCGTTGTTTCATACTGAGAGTGAAAAAGGAAAATGAAAGCAGCTTTTAGTTGGTTTACTCTGCAGTTGTTTTCAAACTTGCAACTCTAACTCTGTCCATTCACGGCCCAGGGCCCTAAGATAGCGGAAGAAAGAGTTTATGGCACAGATGGGGACCCAAGTTGTGTGCATGAAATAATGAAAAAATAGAGCAGAATGTGCTGTTGCGAGTGAGATGAACAGCTGGGAAACATGATGCATCAGGAGCAAAAACCTTCAGGCAGGAATAGTTCAGAAGGAATCGGGGTGTGTGGGGAAGACCTGGATGAAGTAGGAGACACTGTAAGTTCATGAAGAATGCGCAGAGTATTGTTGGAGGAATTGTAGAAATAGGACTTTCTTGAGCATTTGTTGGTTAATTTTTATTTAGGATTTATTGGTGCAGGGAAACCGTGCCCATCTTTAATGAAGGTACAGTCTATTGAGAGATGGAGGTAAGAAAGTGAACACCGAGGGTCCAGGGGGTGAGATGTTCTGGGGGAGGGATGTGGGTGCTTGGAGCAGGACTTTATCTCATGACAGTAAGCTCTCAACTTACAAACAAGTTCCGTTCCACGAGGACATTCTTTTGTAAGTCTGACAAATGAGTTTTACATCCCTTTGACACAAATATACAATGTAAAGCATTAAAAAAACTAAACTCAAGGTCCGTTCTTATCCGTGAAAGTTTGCAACTCAAACGTTCGTAAGTTGGGGACTTACCGTCTGCAGGTGTCCCTAAGATTTCCTGAAGGGCGGTAAGGAAGGAACTTAAGTAATGAACAGGGGCAGGGCTATGGAAAAGCAGGCGACCATGCAGGGGAAGAGCACTCGCAAAGGCGGGAAGATGGAGGGCATGGAGCTTTCCTCTTCGCCGAGGCCTGCGAAGGACTGTGTATTTGGGGTGCAGAAGGGTAAGAGGCGAGAAGGTGAGAGAACACTGCCCAGGATGCTGCAGGGCCCCATGACTTTGTGCATCATGCCGCAGGGACTTGATTGTTCAGAAATAGCTAAACACCACTGGAGAGAGATCGGAAGAGGTGCCATGACCCTGATGATTTGGTCTTTTGAGCAATTTCCTTGACAGCCAAGTGGAATTAGATGGGTTTTCTTATGGCAAAAAGTCATTTAGTAATATTGAAGTAAGCTAGGCAAAGTGAAAAAGGTATGCATTAAAATTATGGTTGTGAGTTTATGAAGAAATTAGAATAACATCCCGAGAGGCTGAAGCAGGAGGACTGCAAGTTCAAACCCAGGCTAGGCAGCTTGGAGGAGACTGTCTCCGAAAAAGGGCTGGGGTTGTAGCTCAGTGTGAAGACTCAGGTTCAACTCCCAATACTGGGGTAAAAAAAGAAGTGAGAACGTCCAGTGAAATCGAGAATAAAGAAAGATGTGAGCTATTTGAAAAACCAACAGAGGTGATTAATTCAGTGTGGGAGACACTGCATTCAAGCTACTTATAAAATGGCGTGGCGTGGCTGGATAGACGCGTTGCCGGACGTTGCCGCTGAGAGGCGAAAATGAGCATGTCAGAATCTAAGCAGGCGTCAGCGGTGTCCACGGAGAATGTGAAAGATGAAAAGTGGGTCAAGCAGAGATTTCTCGAATCCCTGACCCTGTGGGGGGGAGAGAGGGAGGGAAGAGAAAGGAATGATGGGTGTGGGTCTGAGGAAGCCAACCTGGGGTGAAGAAGAGAGAGGCTTGGAGGGACATGGTTAGAAAGAGTCATTCTTTGTTCGCTTTTAGGAGGAAGATGGGCCCCAGCTGTATACTGAGTGGAAAGAAGGCTCGGACCCGGGGGAGGTGGGCTGAGGAGGGTGGGAGACAGGAGGGTGACGCTTCGAGGTGCGCTTGGATTGGGGCAGCCAGGAAGCTGTGAGTCCCCTTCAGGGAGACATGGTAGGGATTAAGGAGCCAGGGCTGTGGGGAAATGGCACAGGAAATAATTTGCAAAATACAAGAACCTTCCAGTTGCTTCAGAGAATATCCTGACCGCAGGGCCAAGCTAAGGTTATTAATTACGAAATAGAAGCACAGGCCACATCGAGTATTAGAAGATGAAATATCTCCCTGTTTCTAATCTGTGAGATGGGATATTTGGAAGATATCCCAGTTAATTCAGCATAACTAAGATGCAGAGAAAAAAAAAAATCGCCCATGTCACTAAGTGAATTTGAGGGGAAATGTTAGTGATGATGAAAAAAAAAAAAAAACTTACAACTAGATTGAGAAGGACAAACTGTTCTGCCAATTTCTGGATTTCCTTATTTTCAGCAAATACTTTCTTTAAAGCTGCAATATAAAGAAAAATCTTTAAGCATGCGTGTTTGCATCGGTTAAAACCCTAGTTTTCTGTTGTGTTTCAAAGAAATACTTCTGCTGTGCCCTTTTAGTCACTGGTTTGTGAAGTAACACCTATGTCATTGTCTAGCTGTGCTTTTTTGCCGTTCATTCGTTCTTACACTTACTTTTTTTCAACCCATATTTATTGAATTTCTACTAAGTGTTACAGTTTTACGCTCTGGCAGGGTGCAGTGAATAATAAAAAGCAGATGTTTTTCCCAAAGAGCTCAGATGCTTGTGTGCAAGACAGACCATAAACAAGTGCACAAATATTTAATAAGTGCAGGTGGAGAAATGTACCTCAAAGAAAAAATGAAGCCAGAGGTTGAAGAGATGTGGGTTGATAGGGGTAGCTCTCTCTGAGGAGGGACATGGAAGTAAGGGGTGGTCCATTTTGGGGCTAAATCACTAAAATTTGGGGGGGCAGTCAAGGCACTCTGGACAGGGAGAACTGCAAGAGTAATAGCATTGAGGCAGGATGAGCTCAGAGGTTGTAGAACAGCACGGAGGTCCGCCAGATGAACCAGGAGATCTGGGGAGAGGCTAGGACAGGAATGTGCACCTGACCAGCTCGTGTCCAGCCTTGCTGGCAGTGGTTAGAAATTTGGAATTAATTTTACCTATGATTAGAAGCCACTGGGTACATGAGGGACAGGAGCTGCTTCGTGTTTCACAGCCTCGCCCTGGACAAGCTGAGGCACTGAGGCAATAGATGGTGGTTTGGAAAGATCAAGGGAAAAATGAAAATGCACATGCCCTTGCTCGGGAATCACTAAGAATTTTAGGGCAGTGGTGGCAGAGCGTTAAACCAAGTGTGAGGAGTGGCTAAGCTCCGGGCCCTGTGCTGCAGAGCAGGTTCTATGTCTGTGAAGCTGTGGGATACATTTTGAAGGTAAAGGCGACAGCATTTGCTGATGTAATGGGTATGGGATATAAAATCAAGATGTTCAGGATGAGTCCTAGGGCTGATTCAAAATATGCACCCATGGTCAACACAAAATGTAGAAATATGCGAAGTAATTTTAAAATGTTTTTAACCACCTACAATGTTCGTTCTTATTTTGTGTTGGATTCTAAGGATACAAAGATGAAAGATCGAAACTGGCCCTACCTAAAAGTCTTATGAAGGGCTTTGGGGAGAATAAATTACCTTGACTATGTGGGCATTCGTCCAAATGATGAATAACCATCAACGGCCTGTTGCTGTGGGGAGCAAACAGATCAGGAGGTTTTTAAGGGAGCGGACCTTGTGCATAGCTTGTGACCACTCACTAGGTGGTGCTCTTCAGAGCCGTGAGATGCCTGTAACCCTCCTTACCTAGTCTTGGATTTGTACAAGGCTTCTTCATATGTCTGAGTCCAGATAAGTTGATCGCCCCAACCTAGAAAAGTAATGAACCAGTATATTTAAAACTATCTTATAATTTTAGGTCCCAAACTGTTGAAAAACAATGGTAAAGATCTGAGATAAATATGTACTCACTACCAAAGAAAAAGAAAAACCTCTAGAGAAAGTGGAAATAACTATCAACCATGACAAATCTAGGAAGAACACATCCCCAAATGTATTCAGTGCACACACTTCAGCACCAAAAGTTAGAAAATCTTTTCCACCTAAGTGGCAGCTGGAAGCCACCAAACTGCTGCCTCGCACCTCTGGAGAGGGTCTGGGGCAGTTTGGGTCGGGAGTCCTTGGTGTCCTTTTTGGCGCCGGGTTTCACTGTGGTTTCTTTGGTCAGGGTGTAGGACAGGGCCACAAGGAGCAAGAATACTGACACTGAAATTTTCTCCATGGCAAATCTGTACAGAACACAAACAAAAAGTAGTCAGGAAGCTTCAAAATCTACAGATTGTGTTTCAGCAGTGGACCACCACAGAAACAGGTTCTGTTAACACCGGATGCATGAGATTAGAGTAAAAAGCTACCTTCCATGAAATTTTCCTAAGAATATGCAGTGTGGCTATTTATTACTCACTGACTTATCCATCTTTCTGTCTCTCACCCTCCCTGTCAGTGGGTAGTAGATTCACAAGAGAAATAGAGACACACTCTAAGGAAATAACTTGTCAGATGTTTATTCTCTTACAGCTGAGGACATTTACACCGCAAATTTATGTTTAGAAGGGTAGTACGGAAGATATGGTAGGACCTGCCTCTTTTCCTCCTCCTCCTCATCATACAAATGAGAACCTAAAGCTGGGAGAGACAGGAAGATTTATGAGATAGGTCCAGAACAAAGAGCTCTGGATCTTGCCATTTTGCTCCCATCTTCCCTCCCTGAAACAAATACCTAAACATACATACACACTGCTTTAATCTATGGTAAAACCGGAACATTGCTGTCAAAGAATGAGATGGAAATGAAGGGATTGATTCCTCATTGCATTTTGACCCTGCCAGCTTTGTCTCTTAACTGAAGAGTGGTACTCACACAATTCTCTCCCTAGTGTAGTTTATGCAAGCTCTGTGTTCTCTGTGAATTGACTAAGACATATCGTATCAAGTTCTAGTGAGGTTGAGTCACTGTGGACCTTTTTTAGGTAGGTGGTTATGGACATGCCTTTTAGTGTACAAAAATATTCTGTGAGAGTCATAGCACTGAGAAATAAGTCCCAGGGCCACCTCTATTAAATTTACTTTTCCCATTTGCTGTTCCATAGTCAATTACTAGGAAAAGCTAAAGCATTGCCCATAGGAATATGAGGTTCTATGTGAGGAGGGAGGGAGCAACCAGCAAACCAAGTTGTAGAACAAGTCACTGAGGTTATCCAGGGGCCATAACATGAAAAGCTGGAGACCTGAGGGCTGAGGATTTTAGCTCAGTGGTTGCACAGCCTGCCTTGCAAGCACAAGGACCCATGTTCAATCCCTGGTACAAAAAAAAAAGGCTGGAGACCCAATGTTCTGGTAAAGCCAAACAGTAAAGTTGCTTAACAAGAAATATGAAATTATCGCATCTATTCCTAATTTACATGTAGGTTTTGAATCAAGTGTAATGAATCTTGCAAGGGAAGTAGGATGGACTGTCATTGCTTACCATTTGTAAGAGTGAAGTTTCTTTTCTCTTTTTGGTACTGGGGATCAAACTTGGGTCCTTGTGCTTGCAAGGCAGGTGACGGAACCACTGAACTAAATCCCTGGCCCTAAGAGTGAAGTTTCTAATGATGAGACAGTTTGAGTGGGAATCTTTGCAAAGCATTAGATGATTAAAAAAAGAAAAACATTGCTAAGTTACCAAATTCAAGTGAAGCCTTATATTCACCTGACCAATTGTCATCCAAGACTTAGTATGTAGCCACTGAGTGTCTTATCCAGAAAAGACATAAGGGAAATGCAGGCATATAATTTCTCCATTTTCTATTCTCTTAAGATGTAGAAATGCCAGTAATAATCTTTTAAAGTTCTGAAAAAACAACTCATATATACTACAAGTCGATGATACCCAGTACTCTTGGAAGACTTTAAAAAATATTAAAATGAAGAACTTTAATGTGAGAAGTCTGGGTAACTCCCTTTCAGCTACCAATGGGTCTGCTTATTTCCTTTTTATTCTTTGGTACCGGGGATAGAACTTGGGACCTTGTGCTTGCAAGGCAGGGAGCAGAACCACTGAGCTAAATCCCCAGCCCTTGCTTATTTTCTTTTTACACATAACCTCTTTCACCATCAATGGACCACCCTTTGGGTTTTCCCCTCCGAATAGACCATGGTCTCACTGTGGGTGGGCCACTCCCTCCTAACCACGGGACAAGACTAAGACAACAGATATGAATTCTACAGACTCCCACCATCCCAAACACATAAAAGATCCTCAGTTCCCAACTGTCCTGCACCTCCTTTCTCTGAGCACCTGCACTCTGCTCTTGAATGTGTCTTATATCTACCTCTGATAGACCCTTCTCCTGTCTTTAAAAAATAAAAATAAAAAAGGCACTTTAATGTGGAATGATACTTTTGGAACATTAGTTGATTAAACAATATATCATAGGTTACTTTGAGTTTATCAACAAACATTTAACATAGTATTTTATTTAATATCTATTCCGTGTATATGGAAAAATAATAGTAAAAGGGTGGTATAGTGCTTGTTTTCAGTCCATTGACCGTTCTTGTACAAATAGCCATGAAAACTCCTCGCAATAGCTCCATGGGTTACAGGTTGGAACTATTGATAAATTACACGTGTTTTATGGCCCAATGACTCCAGGAAGACTAATATAACTCCTGCTGTAAAACATCCTGCTCTTTCATAACACGAAGAGATTTTACTCTGCAAACTTGCTGCATAAACCTGTCAAAACACTAACTTTGGAAGATACTGGTAATTTAGAGAAATGCCCACACACACACACACACACACACACACACACACACACACACACACACACACACACACACTGACGTGAAACCAGCACTTTTCACAGGTCTCTCTCCATCCCTGTCCTAACAAGGAGTAAGCTTACAGGAGGGTGTGTCCCTGTTCTTTTGTGCTCCAGGAAAGCAACCAGCTCTCTCTCCTCTGAAATCCTAGCTTGTGAATTAGAAGGTGGAAGCAACCAACAAGAATTCTTACACCCCAGAAAGAAAACAGCTTCCTGACTTGCAATCCATATTCCAAGGGAGTACCTGAGTTGTGTTCTCAAAATAGATAAGCCTGTGTGTTTTTGCTTCAGTTAGCTAGGGGGAGCGAAGCAGAACATTAGCAGGTGGCAGAATTTCCTGGGCCCTGTCCCAGGCTGAAAACTAAGGAGTTGACCCAGGTTCACACCTCTGGTTTCCTAAAGGAGGAAGGGATCACTTTGCACCTGCTTGGGAAGGTAACATTGGGCCAGCTCCAGCCCAAGGAGGCCCCAGGAAGCCTTTGGAAAAATTCCACTGTGCCCTCCCCAAATCCCACTTTGTCACCCTGGGAAACTTGCATTTCTGTCTGTCGTTGATTGCCCGCAGCTTTACTCAGCAATCAGAGGCCAAAGCTCACTCTAGCAAGAGCCATGCCAGAGGTATTGTCTACAGCCTTACCTGGATTCCCCACCCACCTGCCTCTTGAGAGCAGCCAGGAGCGGTCCAAGCTTCTGAGTGTGCCAGCAGCGGGGAGCCTCTCTATTTATGCACCAGGGTTCACCTCAATCCCACCCACTAATCCGGTATTCACGTGTTGCTAACTCGGAAGTGAATTTTCCTTTCTTCAAGCAATTGTCTTCTCTGGGTTAGAGTTCCTTTTTTTTTTTTTTTTTTTTTTAAACTAACGTTGCAAAGGGTAAAGCTTTTCAGTATGCAGGTCTCTAACTATTTGCGGAAAGTACATTGTAAAGAGGTTTGGAAAAATGGGCGAACTGCCAAATCCAGGTAAGCTTTTAAATGAAGACTTTGATTTGCCTGAAGGCTGATTTGTCTTTACGCGATTGGATGAAAGCACGCAAGAGATGATTCAGAATTCTAACCCTCATAGTCTTATAACCTGCCATTCTCTACTGCCATGCAAATTATTTTCCATGTTACGCTTCCTTCCTCTGGGGGGAAACAAGCACATTAACTACAGGCACAAAAAATATCAAGTACACACAGAATATTTCAAAACTTACTGAAAAAAGACAAGTTGACACTCTGAGCTTGTAATAATTGCCTTCCTTTAATATATGCAACAACTTCCCTCCACAAAGTTCAAAATTGTACACAGGTATTTTCTTAATGGCAAACTTTTCTGCTAGACACGCAGGAAGCCACTTTCCTCTTTCTTTGTTAGTTTCCTTAGAAACTAATGCCTAAAACTTTATTTTTTCACTCAAGATTATTCAAGTTGTTCACTGAGGATTTTAGAACTGGAACTCAAATTTTCTGATAGGAAAATACTGATCCTGTGTACTGTTCATAAAGCTGTGTTCAACCCTTAAAAGCTCAGATGGGCAAATCTTTAACAACCAAAACTTAACTAATGGGATGCAAGCCCTTTAAAAAATAACTTAAAGTATATTAAGATCATAATATTTCAAAATGTTTTCAACTATGTGTATTTTTCACAGTATTGAATTCTGTAGGATGGTGATTCTCTGAATTTTCTTTCAATTCTCAGTTTGCAGCGATGATTTCTTGAAGAGATGGACTGAAAACACTAACTTGAGCCAAAACCTTAAAACTAGAATGGCGCTTTTTTTGAGTCCACTTAGCCTTTAGAATACTTAATTCAGTCTCTTCATTTGGCAGATAAAGAATGAGATATCAAAACATAATGACGCTCTCAAGATTCCGCAAGTAGTTTAGGCCGCCTCTGGGAGCACAGCCCAGGGGTCTTCGCATCTGTCACCCTGGCAAAGGGAAAACTGGGTGGCATTTGGAGTCAGAAGAGTCCAGGCAACATCCTTCTTTCTGTTCACTGGATGACCTCAGAGCCGCCACTTAACATCTCTGGAGCTTTAGTTTTCCCGTCCATAAAGTGGGGACCATCTACACGGCTGTCTTGACTACCGGATGAGAAAAGGATCGAGAAGGTACAGCCTGGGTGCGTTGCTCCTTTAGCACCGCCGTAACGGAATGCGGCCGGCTGGAAGGCTCGACAACAGAAACGTATTTCCTCACAAGGCTGGAGGTTGGAAGACCAACATCAACATGGTGGCAGAATTAGTTTCTCCTGAGGCCTCTCTCAGGTTGCAGGTGCCTGGCTTCTCCCCGTGTCTTTGTCTGTCTTCCCTGTGTACCTGTCTCTGCCCTGCTTTGCATTTCTTATGAGACTACTACCCATCTGGGGTGAACTCCTAACTGGGGCCCACTTAACACTCTAAACTACCTCTGGTGACAGTCACAGTTTGAGGCATTAGGATTTCACAAATGAATGGGGTGTACAACTCAGGCATAATATTGGATAATTAAAAACATCTCTGATTTTCCATAATTAATTATAATGGCATATAATTGTATTCCTGCAGCTAGTCTCATATGAGTAAAAACCTGGTATTTGTCATAGTGGTTAAGGTATAGCAAGGAGGAAGTAGTTCTAGACCTACATATATTTTGGTGGCCATAGCATCTTGGGTTTATCTGTTTTGATGGAGGCAAACAGGATTTTGTTGATGATAGTAGCTTTGAGATAACTGGGGAGGAGCTTTTCTTGTAAGCTGTTAAACTCCATCGCGTTTAACAGGAATGTCATGTGATCAGTCCTTGGAATTTGCCTAATATTGTAAAAACGTATTAAAGGGAGGTACATATTTTTTATAATATCTGAGTATAGCTTCCCTGAGTAGGACTTGACAATTCAGTATGTAATGTTTGGTAAGTAAAACTAAGTTTGTACCAATGACCCTAACAAAGGCCATAATTTAAAAAATGTTATTCCTTTGTGTTTTAAACATCTGCATCATCATAATTTTAAAGCCTTCTAGGCTGGGGATTTATTTAGCTCAGTGGTTCCACCGCTTGCCTTGCAAATGCGAGGACCCAAGTTTGATCCCTGGTACAAAAAAAAAAAAAAAAAATTAAAGGCTTTCAGGACCTTGCGCTTTCAAGGCAGGCAGCAGAACCACTGAGCTAAATCCCCAGCCCAAGTAGGTTATTTTCTATTGAATAAAATCTGGAGGCTATTGAGTAGCCTGGACACCTAACTATGCTGTTTTATTTATTCACTTATTTATTCATTTCTTCAAATATTCAACATCTTTATGTAGCTGATATTATGCCAGACATAAAAAAAAAATGAGGAAGATGGTCAGTTACTGAGGTAGCCAGACATAAACGGCATTGTAATAGTGGATGTTAAGACATATTACGCAGAACACACACAGGAATTTATGACACTGCCTTTACCTTCAATCTCTTTAAAGAATCATGATAGAAAAATTGCAAAAATTGCCCATCCTTGGAAGGACAGTGTATAGTGAAGCACAACTGAGGGGGATAGACACCAAGTGTTACTACGAGTTCAGAAGAGGTAGAGATTCCTATCTACTAGAATGTTCAAGGTGGTGGTGAAAGCAAGACTTGCAGGCGGAGATAGTGACGCAAAGTTTTCAAAAAGGTGTTTATGAGCTATTTAATGAAGCAGCCTACCTGGGGTGAGAGCCGTTCAGTTAGCTCATAGACAGTGGGGTTGGAAAGGTGTTTGGGGCCTGTTTTCCTGGGGCCTTTAATAGTATACTGACATTCAACTTTACTCTCAGGAGAAAGTGTCTGGTTGTCAAGAGGACAAGTTGTGGATGCAGACTGATTTGTGTTCAAACCTAGCTTTATGACTTTCCATGCTATGTTAACCTAGAAAAGATGACTTGAACTCTTGCTTTGGTCATCCAGCTTGTAAAGTGTAGAGAGGAAGACCTGCTTTATAGGAACTGTGGAAGATGATGTAAGATAATAAAGTGCTTAGCACCTAGTAAGCACTCAAAAATATTTGTTAACACAATATATTGTTTGCTTTTCTGAGCTATGATTACTGAGATCTCAGGCTGTTAACGCCACGATAGCATAACTTTTGATTCAGAAGACTTAAACTTTCACTATGTAACTTTGGAAAAACTAATTGTCTTCATACCAACCTCATCAGATTTTATTGTTTTTCTTAAAAAACAAAAATCACCTTCAGATGAGTAGATATAAGTAGCCCAAAGTCACAAAACTGATGAGAGAAGACCTAAAATTTCCCATAGTTGCTGATAATCAATCCAGCATTCCTCTCAGATCCTCTTCCTGTCTTCTGCTGTCATGAAGGAACAACATAAACTGTAAATGCACCCTAATCCCGTGAAACTGGATTACGTGAGCCTCAGGCAGAGGGAAGAGAAAATGAGCTCTAGTATTTCGGGGTTCGCCTCCCAGGAGTTTTGTGGAAACCACACATCTAACACAGGCCAGGCTGCTGAATGAGTGAGCTCTCCCCATACCCTAACTTGGGGAGTAGCTTCATGAAAAGGTGCATCTCGACATCCATACTGTAAACAAATATGCAGAATTTATAGATTTTACGGTTTAGAAAGAATCAGTTTTAAAGTTTCAACTTCAGTACGCTAAGGATCAGTGAGGACCCAGGAAACTGAAAACAATTTTTTCTGTGTGCACAAAACCCCTCAAATATTAAGATAAGTTCAAACTATTCGCTAAAATTATAGAAAAATGTACTTTATGAAAATGGTACTTTATATAAAACAATAGCCATCTATTTTATTCATTTCTTGGTGGTTCATTTAGTTGGATTTCAATAGATTAAATTCACTTGAATTAACTGGATTACATTTTAATACTTAAATTCAATAGATTAAATAATACAGTAGGATAACTTCAATTTTGCAAACTTCATGAATGAAATTCTTTTAAATATTTTCAACCGTGTTTGTAATTTCAATGCCATTGTGCTGAATTCCTGTAAGCTTTCTAAACTTACAACAGAGCAGTTTTGCAGTCAGCAAAACCTTTTTCAACATTTTAGCAATTCTAAATAAGAACTACTAGATCACATTTTAGTAGCCATTTTCATATTGTGTTAGAATAATTCTTATCCTTTTCAAATTAAAATCCTAATTTTAGGCATAAAACTAACAATCATATTTGTCTATATAGGAGCATCTTTTATAGTTATCTTATAAAAATTTAAATGACAAACATGAAAGTTATTAGAATATTTTCCAAATTTAAACTTAATAATAAAGCGTTTGAGTACCTTCATTAGCTCCATTCTGGTTTTAAAACATTTTTGAGTATTTACTTAATTTTTGCGGTGCCCTTGTACATGCGAGGCAAACCCTGAACCACACCACACCCCAGCTCTCTTCCTATTCTTGTTCTTTCCTTTAGCAAGGAGCAGGAGCAGATTTATTCCTCAGGGCAACCAAGGTTCCTACGTCTGAAGTTTGAGACCCTGATGTGCTTCACAGCTGAAAACCAGTCGCTGATTCGTTCCTGCAGGTGGGAACCATCGGTAGTACATGCATGACCGTAATGAGATAATCATGAATGTACCACCAGGGATACGAGAGGCCCTGCAGCGAGACATACGAATTTCAGCCCTGTTGCGACCGTGTCAATATGGTATATTTAGTGTCACGCCACTAGACGTGCCTCTTGTGCGAAAGGGAAGCAGAAAGCTCAGCATCGAACTTTGGCAATGGCCCTGCATTTAGGAGGATGAGGAGAAGAGGTCCGTACAA